ATATGTATGTATGTGCACGTGTCATGTTTTGTGTAGCTCTTGTCACTTCTGACGGTGCTCACACACTTATATACATATGTACATGTGTCATGTTCTGTGTAGCCCATGTCACTTCTGAAGGGTGTGCTTACACATGTATACATGTATGTACATGTGTCATGTTCTGTGTGGCCTGTGTCACTTCTGACAGGCACACTCATGTATATATGTATGTGCACGAGCGTCATGTTCTGTGTAGCCTGTTCCACTTCTGTTGGGCATGCTCACACATGTATATACATACCTGCACACATGTTCTGTTCTTTGTAGCCTGTTCTACTTCTTACGGGTGCGCTCACACACGTGTATATGTATGAGCACATGTGTCGTGTTCTGTGTAGCCTGTTCCACTTCCGATGGGTGTGCTCACATGTATATATGTATCTGCACGTGTCGTGTTCTGTGTAGCCTGTTCCACTTCTGTTGGGGACGCTCACACATGTATATACATATCTGCACACGTGTCATGTTATGTGTAGCCTGTTCCATATCCGATGGGTGTGCTCACACTCAGGTGGTTCTGAAGCACATTGGCACACAGTCTTGGGCTGGAAGCGCCCTCCGGCACCTGTTGTCCCTCGTTCGTTGTCCCTCATTCAGGTGGAGTCAGCCAGACCCTAGAGCGAGGAACACGTCAGGTTCCCTCCTCTCACCAGGGAAGAAAAGCTGCCCTCCAGGCCCTTTGACAGGTCGCTGCAGACCCAGGGCTGGTGTGCTGGCTCCAGGGGCGTCTGGGGGTGGCTCATCTTCTCTTATCCAGTAAAGCAGCAGCGATCTTTCTTCAACTTGGCTAACGTAAAAATCTTGTAATTCCTGATAGATTTCTGACTTTAATTTTCCTAATTATTTTCATGAATAGGGCTTATCTGAACCATGTTACCTTCACAGCTGATGTAAAAAGTTTTTCCTTTTGGGAGATTAAAAAAAATAAATGAAACCTTTGAAATTCCTTACTTCCCAGTTTTTGTACACAAATTCATCAAGTGGTGATATTGAGACTTTGGCTGTTGTGGAATTGATGAGCATGTACGAGGCATGGTCCCGGGCTCAGGTGGTAAGGGACTGGAAAGTGAGGTTATTAAAACCTGAGGGAGGTCATTCCTCACCTAATTTAAATGGAGTTCATTCCTTTTAGATGTCTTTAAAGTTATTGGTGTAATTACAGTTATTCAAAACTTAATTATAGTGACTGTTACATCATTTAATAAGAATGAAACAGTGACCAGATTTCACAAAAAGGAAGTCAGAGTCTTGACCCTCTGCAAGCATGAAGTTACTGTATAAATTTTAATTTGAACTTCTCTGCTCATTTTAGCTCAGGTTGTGTGGAACTGTCGTCTTTGAGTGATCTGTGGGAAAGATCCTTATTAATTCAGTTAATAAAATGCTAAGGAGGAGAATTTAACCAAGTTAACTAAAGTACTGTTTGGATACACTCTTAAAGCTACTTTTGGAACCCTTCTCTTTGGCCGATAATAAACCTGGTTATTGTAGTAGTTTTTCTGAAGCTTTGGTGAAAGTACTGTCGGCACATTTGAGCTGTTAGAATTATGCCATGTGCCCTAAAACTGCACCACGTTTCCTTAGAGCCAGGACTGTTGCTGCCTGCTCCACGAGAATGTGAGCGTCACAGAGCAATTTCACCCTCTCTGTTGCGTATTCTCTCACACAAAGCCGCACGTGCACATAGGGGGTGCTCAGTAAATTTTTGTTGAATGAACAGTTCTGTGGTTCAGTCCTGTCACTAATTTAGACTGTAAATCCCTCAGTTATTCCTGAACAGAGAGGTTAGAGAGTAGTGTAACTAGGCAACAGTATTTATCCCAGCATATGAGGGTATGTAACCTCTTTTTTCCAGGGAACAGTTGAATTTTAAATCTTGGAAAAGCATCATGTGTGATACAAGGTTGACTTTTCCTTTGAGTGTTCTTTATCTTAGGGTCCACTTTTTGGGTAGTAGCCATCAAGGAATATTCAGAAACATCTTTCATTTGGAGATGATTTTTTTGTTTCTCATTTAGGTATCTGACATCTTAAAATACAGACTGATGTGAGTTCTTTAAATTCTTTTTTTTTTGTTTTTGAGGATTAGCCCTGAGCTAACATCTGCTGCCAACCCTCATCTTTTTGCTGAGGAAGACTAGCCCTGAGCTAACATCTGTGCCCATCTTCCCTCTACTTTATATGTGGGACTCCTACCACAGCATGGCATGCCAAGTGGTGCCATGTCTGCACCCGGGATTCGAACCAGCGAACCCTGGGCCGCCAAAGCGGAACGTGGGCACTTAACTGCTGCGCTACCAGGCTGGCCCTGAGTTCTTTAAATTCTGAAAAGCTCATGATAGGAAAGGCAAGTGGAGGACTTGTTCTCCAGACCCTTGACTGTCAGTTTGTTTGGGCACCTGAAGACTGGTTCATCTGTTAGAAGTTCAGTTTTTAAAAATCAGTTTTGACAATGTTGGTTGGGAAGGAGTGCGGCGATCTGATCGCTTTGTACACAAAGGGCACAGTCACACAGGTGTTACGAGGCTTGTGCAGCGTCCTCTGTGCAGGCATGTGAGTGAGTTCTGGTTTGGCTGGTGGGGAAGTCCTTTGGTCCGTTTGTCACGTCAGCATCAGTGGACCACAGAGGTGTTGAACTTGTGCTTTTCTTTGAACACTGCAGCCTCCCTGAGCAGTGCGTGGCCAGAGTGAGGAAGCCACGCTGATACCTTCCTGGAGACTTTCCAAAGGTGGACTCGTGTGTACCTGGAAAGATGCAAAGATGGAGCCTGTGTTCTTAGGAAAGGGATGCCCCCCTCTCCTGTCGTTTCTACTTCTGGAGGGCTTGCTCTTCCTGCCTGTTCTTCAGATGTAAAAGTATTACTTTGCTTTGTAGGAAGCTGCATCTTGGAAATAGGAAATGGGAGCACTGCAGCCGGTTTCTGACGTGGAGCCAGAAAAGCACACGACTTCAGCATTTCATGGGCCAGCATTTTCCACATCATATATTTTTTTTCTTAGCCATGAAATTCCTGCAGATTGTCATGCAAAACAGTTTTGTGTCTCTGTGTGACTGGGTAGACAGCTGTTCGTCCTAATGAGGAGTGCTAGCATTACAGTCTTTCTGTTGATTGAGACCCACGGAGGGAGTGGAATGTTCCAGATCAGGCAGTGGTGTGCGACGAGAAGGTACCGCACTGTCAGCTGGAAGCACATGCTTGGCTGCTCTCGGCGACAAGATAAATGAGTTGGCTGGAGTTTGGCAGAGTCTGAGCTTTTCCAGTGAGCGGTTGTGCTGCACCCGCTTCCCCGTGGGACCCGAGTTGGAGGGCCCTTAGAGGGACTGCCTCTGCCAGCCCTTCCCTTTGACGCCCTACAATACCTGTCAGGATTGTGATTTATTAAAAACCTAATGTCTCTCAGCACTTCATTAACATAGGCTTAGACAGTCTTTTTTGGAGACTTCTTTTCATTAATTTAGCAGAATGTTAACTGAAATTTGGCTCCAGAAGAGGAGAGTCCACAGAGGAGTCACGGGTGCCATGATTCCACTCTCGGGGCTTTGCCCAGGGCCGAATTCCTCACGCCTTGTTATGGCTGCTGAGGCACCTCACCTCCAGTCAAGCTTGCATTGTTCTTCCTTCCTTTCTTTTTATTGATGTCATGATAGTTTGTCACATTGTGAAATTTCAGTTGTGCATTATTATTTGTCAGGCACCATATAAATGTGCCCCTTTACCCCTTATGGCCACCCCCCAACCCCCTTCCCCTCTGGTACCCACTAAACTGTTCCCTTCTTCCATGTGTTCTTTATTTTTTAAATAGGGAGTTCATTGGGTTGGCATTCCGGGTTTACCTTCATCTCCCCCTTCTCCCTGTGTCACACATGGCCTCGAGTAGGGTTCGATTTTCTCTAGGTCCCTCTTTGTGTCTCGTGGGACACTGTCTGGTTTAGCATACTGTCTTCCAGGTCCATCCATGTTGTCACAAATGGCAGGATTTCATTCTTTTTATGGCTGAAAAATATATTTTATTATATGTGTGTGTATATATATATGCACACATATATATACAGCACATCTTTATTCATTCATCTGTTGACAGACACTTAGATTATTTCCATATCTTGGCTGTTTCAAATAATGCTGCGATGAACATGAGGGTACATGTGTATTTTCAGTTAGTGTTTTTGTTTTCTTTGGATAAATACCCAGAAGTGGGGTTGCAGGATGATATGGTAGTTCTATTTTTAATTTGTCGAGGAACCTCCATACTGTTTTCCGTAGTGGCTACACCAATTTGCATTCCCACCAGCGATGCACACAGGGTCCCTTTTCTCCATATTCTGACCAATACTTGTTATTTTTTTTTTGTTTTTTGTTTTTTTTTTGTTCTTTTTTGGATAATAGCCATCCTAATTGGTGGGAGGGTATGAGATGTGGTTTTGATTTGCATTTCCCTAATAATTAGTAATGTTGAACATCTTTTCATGGGTTTGTTGGCCATGGTCTATTCAAGTTCTTCCCCCCCGCTTTTTAATTGTATTTTTGTTGTTGAGTTGTAGGAATAAGCTTTTCTCCAGTGTTAAGATTAAACTGATTGAAAGGTGCATTCAGGATGGATTTTTAAAAAATTCTCTGCTATCAGGCACGAATATATAGAAATTTTGGCAGGTTCTATCTGATTCATGCATTCTGGTAACTTCTCTTTGCTCCATTGCCTGGCGGAGGTAGAATAGGGTAGGATAGACTAATTTTCTAATCTACTGGGGGACTTAGGGGTGTTTGTCTCCACACTCATGGAGAGGTGCAAGCAGACCAGAAGACAGTTGTCAGTTCCCACGCCTCCAGCATCCTTTCCACTCACCTGGTCCGTCTCTGGCAACAAGATCGTGCGTTCATCATGCAGTGTGGAGAGGACTCATGTCCATATCCTAGAACTTGCTGATGAGGTTCTGACCCTGTGCCCTTTACTTGTAGCACCGTGACTTCTGCTGTGTTCACCGTCGGGGATAACGTCGTTTCAGGCAGTGATGACCGCACTGTGAAGGTTTGGGATTTAAAGAACATGAGATCCCCCATTGCCACAATTCGTACAGACTCTGCCATCAACAGGTGAAGAAAGCTGCTCCTTACATAAACATTTAGCATGATCTGGAAGGGTAGATTGTGATTTAATGTCTTGTTCATGTAAATTTAGTGGTTAATTGATATTGCCTTGGGAAAAGTGGTTTAGATGCCTGGGAAAATATTTTCTTATCGATCCTCTAATGCAAGTTCAGTATTCCGTAAATGCTGAAACTTAAGTATAAAATCAGGTTGGCGTAGTGAGCTTTGTAAGAATAAGAAGGAGCCATTTATGGCCAAACGGTGTAGGGCATCTGTTTTAGTTACCAGGTGAGACGTGTAAGTTACGTGTTAGTGACTTGGTCTCTGTATTCTAGTGTCATAGACAGATAATACCTATGGTTTGCTAATGTGGTTTGACATGAAATGTGAATAGTATGAAATATCCTACTGCATCATAGTCTATAAACTCAAAAATTCGTCTTTTTGCTGTTTTATACATAACCTACTTTTCTCTCTACTTTGCAGGATCAATGTATGTGTTGGCCAAAAAATCATTGCCCTCCCACACGACAACCGACAAGTGAGATTGTTCGATATGTCGGGCGTGCGGCTAGCACGGCTCCCCCGCAGCAGTCGACAGGTAACTGGCTGTTGACGTGTGTGTTCACAAAGAGCCTTAGGAAGAGCTTGGAATTCACTTCTCAGTCATCACTGTCTAATTGAAGTACAGTGTGAGCCACTTGTGTGTTTTAAGTTTTCTAATAGCCACTTTCAAAAAAGAGAAAAATTAATTTTAACAGTATATTTTATTTAACCATATATATCTGAAATAATATAATTGCAACATGTAATTGGTATAAGAATATTAGCAATTTAACGTTCTCATTTTGTTACTAAGTCTTTGGATGCTAGATTTTCATTGGAAATACTGGATCTGTATTTAGAGTTCATAGAATTTGAAGTTGAAAACGTTTCCCAATACCTGTACTGAGTATCAATTTTTAAGTTTAAACGTATGTGAAGCAAGTGGTCAGCGTCTCAGTTGCACTAGCACTTCTCAGGAGCTCGTTTGCATGGGTGCGGTGGCCACCATCTTGGGAAGCAAAGTCTGAAGTATTTGCAGTTGAACGTGTCCAAGCTGGAATTTATCAAACGACAAGTATGTGAGGTAGCCACGTGACCGCCGTGGTCGTGGATTGTGGGAGCTCTTAAGGAAGGGACTGCCCTCCACCCACAACCAAAAGACACCTTTCCACAGCTGGTCACCAGACAACAAAAGGCCGTGTTAGATGTGCTTTCTCATGAGTTAGGCATTGTTCCTCATTCAGCTCAGGTGATGCAGTGCAGGGGAGTTGGGTTGGTGTTTCTGTGGTGTTTGGACTGCCCGTCAGTTACCTGACACTTGATAAGATTGGGGATCCATAGCACCAGCTCACACCTGCTGAATCAGATCTCTGAGGGGCTCCTGTGAACCTGCAGTGAGATGGGTTCCCTGGGTGAATCGAAGTCCGAGGGAGAGTCTCGGAGTACGCGATGTGCTCCAGACTTTGTGCTTAGTTGAGCCCCCACACTATCAATCTCTCCTTTGCCTCCTTGTGCTTTGTCTGGGTGTCACCGTGACACCTGTGCCAGGGATAGGCCGGTCTGTCCGTTCTTTCTAGAGGAGCCCGTCCCCGACCCTTCAGGAGTGAGTGTACTCCTCCAGTGTTCTCCGCCCCTGCTGCCTGGTGGCAGCTGCTCTGCTGGCCCTGGTGTAGGCGTCCATCTCATCTCATCTGCAAAGCCTCACGGCGCAGGTCATGAGCCATGGGCTGGCTCTGCGGGAGATGGGGCTTCAGGAACTGCAGGCCCAGGGTGGTGTCGGAGGTAGATTGTAGCGGGGATTTGCTGCCAGCATAGCAACACCAGCTTTCTGAAAGCGCCTGTCCTCAGGGCAAGGCTGTGTCCTCCCTCTCCTGGCTCACACGTGTGCTGTTGGAAGTCGCTGAGCTTTTTATTCTCGTTCATACCATAGGAAAACTACTTGTGAAACTAGAGTAGCTAAGAAAAGCTCCACAGCCCCCCCACAAAGCTGTGACGGTGTGTCCAGGGGATGTTTTCGTTTGGTAACTGCCGAGTTTCCCTCATGCGTCAGCTGAGCCGCATCTTCTCTCTTCCGTTGTGCCTGCTTGTGTCAGGCAGAGTTGCTGGGCAGCGTGTAAAGTGTGCATTTTGAAACAAGTGAACAAGTGTATATGACTTCATTACTTTGAGGATATTTTCCCTCAAGAAAATAGGGAGTTGTAAGCAGTTCTTGGTGGCACTAATTCCATGGAGACAGTTTTTTTTTAAATTAATCTACAAACGTTCAGGCTTGTTGGAATTGTAGAATTTTGTACTTGGATTTATTCCCTCCTAAAGTGGTACATGAAATAAATTTATTTTTAAGATCAGTGAATAACATTTCACTTAATTCTGAACTTGTAATATATCCTCAGATAGATAAATATGGTTTTCAGTGTCACAGAAGCGCAGCTAGAAATCCCTTTGTATTGTCCTAGCTTCTTTCAACTTCTTTCCCAGATTTTGAAAAGAGAAAACCACACTTATTTTTAAACTTAGTAGCTGGAGGAAAGGGTTTTACTTTGGGGAAAGTGTCAGTGACGTTTTCCGGAAGTGTTGGAGTGAGGCGAGCTCTGACTTGTGTGAAGAGGACTGGCAGGGAGCGGGGTTCTTGGTGTGGCATGTTTGTGAGATGTGGGTTTACAGAAAGTACTGGCTCTGTCTCGTAGGAGTGCAGAGGTTCCCATGTGCATGTTGTGACTGCAGGAGGGCAGTCGATATGTTCACCAGCCTCTCTCCGGTGGGTGCCCCGGGGCACCACGTCCTTTGTGCTCCAGGGGAATCTCCATGAGGTGAAGGCCCACGCAGGCCTGGAGTTGGCTTCCTGCTCCCTCGCCATTTGGCTCCTGGTTCTGACCCACCTTCTGGGTGCCGTGTGGTCTTTCCCTGATCTCAGTGTGCGTCAGCTTTAGCTCTTGTATGAGTCTGGATTTCGCTGGCGTTTTGTGGCTGTGTTGTTCGTTCTTTTTCTTAGGTTCTTCACAAAGAAGTGATAAAGATAGCTCGTGTAGCCTTGGTTGTGGGCTTCCGTCGACATGCTCGTGAGCGGCCTGTCCTGTTCTCTTGGGCGTGCGGGCAGCACTTTTCACGGGAGGGTTTGCACAGAGCACATTGGGTGTTTCTTCGACTTACTGAATTCCTGTCAGGTCTTAGTCCTGCTCCTCGTGCTTTCCTATGTGATGCTACAGTGAAAGCGTGTTAGAGCTCTCATGTTGATTTAGAACGTAAGAATGTGTCCTAAGGAGTTGCTTACATCTCTGCACGGCTACGCCAAATAGATCACACTAGAAACTTTGCAAATATTTTTGCAATACTTTTTTCCAACATTCTGAGATTTGATTGAAATCCGTGAAGGTGGCCGAGATCTACTTGAAAGGCCATTTATTTTATCCTCCTTTTTTTGTCACCAAATGTATTTTTCTGTCTTCTTTATTACTTGAACCTATTTGTTAAAATGATATTCAAGGTCTTTGAGTGAATTTCATTTAATTTATTCCCCATTATCATCTAGCCTCATTTGTTCATTAAGAAATTTCAAGTTGGTTACTTATTATTTCTGTCTTACTGTAAGCTTGGTCATTTTCTAAACAGAGACTCATACAGTCCTTTTGGTGGGATCTCCCTGAGTTCCTTGTGTGGTCTGACCTTGCTCACTTCATCCTGGCCTTTCCACCCCCAGCACATCCCTGAAAGCCCTTTGCCGTGCTTAGTATTTTGGGCTCACTTTGACTAATACTGTGTGTTAAATTTTTTTTTCAATTTAGTCCCTGTGAGTGATGTAGTTGTTAATTTGGCTGAGGTTTTGTAGCTCTCATGCTTCAGGAATAATACACTAATTCTGGTTTGTGTGATTGGTAATAGGGCCACAGAAGAATGGTGTGCTGCTCGGCGTGGAGCGAGGACCACCCCGTGTGCAACCTGTTCACGTGTGGGTTTGACAGGCAAGCCATTGGCTGGAACATAAACATCCCTGCGCTGTTACAAGAGAAGTAACGTCGCCGGCGCTCCTAGGTCTTGTAGTTTGCCATGGACCTGTGACTGGTGCAGGCTTTTCTCATATTGATCAGCCATTTTTGTGAGACTTGGACCCTGAAAAGGGTGATTTGTATATGTTCTTTTCACATTGTACCCAGCTTGCATGAAATGTAAAGAAAAATGTGTGGTCGTGTTTTTATTGTCCTGTGTGTGTTGGCATCCTCTGGTCAGTAGAAATGCAGCCCCTCCCTGGAGCACGTCACGTGTTATGTTACTGGCATTTGACAGATGACAGAGGGCATTACATTCGTGTGAGTTAAATGTGAACCTGTGTACTTACTGTGAGGTGTAAGTAGTCTGTTGGTTTCTGGAGTAATTATACACGTCTACCTTGGCCTGGGAAGACTGCAGAGCTGCATTTGCATTGGCTCCTGAAGGCAGGAGTGGTCAAAGATGTCATGTTTACTTCCACATGAAGTTTTAGGACGTGCTATCTTGTAATTCAACTTCAACTCTATGTTCTGTTACAGTTCTGTAAGATTAACCTGGATTTCAGAAATTAAAAAAAATAGCATGGAATGTTGAGTTTGCAACATTCAGAGAGTTTCTTTTGAAAAGAAAAAGTTTCTGCTCTTTTTATAGAAAATCATTTTAATCTCCTGAGGTCTCATACTAGCAAATTCTAAAAAATATAATTATTCTAATCACTGATTTAAGATATTAAGCAAAATTTAAAGCACTTTAGTTTAGAGCTATAGTTATAAACAGTTTTTAGAAGTTTCAAATGATTTATCCATTGAATGTGACTCGACCTTTTTAAGAAAGCCCTGCTACCTGAAAACAAATCCTTATGTATTTTCTACACCTTTGGTTTGTATATTTCTAAATGGGTTCACTTCCTAGGTGGTATTTGAGAGCCAACAATGCAAGTAAATGAGTACTACCTCAAAAATGTACTTGGAAAACTTGGGAGTGGGAGTCTCACTCTTGCCTAGTGAAAGCACTTTGACTTAACAGCTGGAACACAGAATTCAGTTCAGAAGGCAGGAAAGACAGTCACAGCAGATGTGTCCTGAAGGTGAAAGGCTCTTCCATGAGCTTTTCAAGACCTATTGTCTCAGTAGCGGGACACCTCTCACTGTCTGAGTGGGCCATCACTCCTGCCTTCCTAGGAGCCACTGTTTTCTGGTGTTTGTGAGTTCATGCTTCTTGTTGAGTTAGGGTTTTGATAAAAGCATCTCAGTGCTCTGTGCCTCGTAGTTTTACTCTTTAAATGTGTCTGCTTGGAGACTGGCTTCTTGGAGAGAGGCACGAGAAGCTAACGTTGAAAAGCATCATGGGCGACCCCCGTTCTGTGTTTCCTGTTCTGGGGTGACACGGGAGCTGGAGCTGGCAGCTGGTGGAGTGCCATTCAGTGAGAGGTGGTATAAGCAGAGTGTCAGGCCATCCTTCGCTGGGGCGTCCCTAGTGGATGTGCCTCCTTAGCAGCTCCTTTTGCTCAGGTCCTGCAGTAGCTGATCTTAGGAACTCCACCCCGAATTGTTCAGAATGATTCTGAAATGCTTTCCACAGCCTGGAAGGGAAGACGGGACCAGGAGAAACCAGTAATGACATAGTGCACTATTGAGGTTGCTAGCTAAGGGACAAACAACAGATGTTTTAGAGGAACTTTATTTTCAAAACTCAAGAATTTGTTGTATTTTTAAAGTCTGACAGTCCTGCGACCACACTGTTTGAGAACGAAGTCAGGCCTGTCACTGAGGCGGGTTAGGACGTCAGGTGGCAGGCCCTGCTCTCCCGAGTGTTCTCAGGGCAGTTGTTGGTGGCCACGTCTCCTTTACTGCCCCACACCCTGAAGGTGTGACCACAGACGACTTGGAGTGATAAGCTGCACGGCCACAGGCTTGTGTTCCTTTTGTGATGTGATTTGAATGTCTGGGTGTCTTAGAATCATTGTTAGGAACATTGAAAAACGTATACAGATAGCTAAGTCAAACTTAAGAACCAGATCTCTGCCAGATTAAAAAAATTTGAAGCTTTTAGGTCTATGTTTGTGATGGCCTTTTAGTTCTGTGCAGACTAGCGCCCTTCATGGCCAGCAGCTGCTCACCTTTTCTCGCTAAGTGGAGGGGCCACCCTCCTCACTCATCTGCACCAGGACGGAAGGCCGCGTGGTGCTCCAATAGCTTCTCAGGAGCAGGACATGCTACAGCTGACTACCGCGTCGTCCTCTGACGTGATTCCATCCAGCTGCTGCTGTGGCCATAGTGGTGGTGTTTTCAGGAGTCATGAAGGAGATGGGGATAGTGAGTGTGTGCGTGTGCATGGATGTGTGTGCCTGCGTGAATGTGCATCTGTGCACATGTGTGACTGACATTGTCATGTTATCAGCCACATGTCATCTCATCTGAAATAGTATTTGGAGATGGGAGTGGTTTTGTCCTATATGCTGACATGTCCAGAATTTCATTTGATAATGGAAGGAAAATGGGTGGTTACTGAAAAACATATATTGATGGAGAATTTCATAGACGAGATGCTGTTGGACAAGGCAACACTCTTTTTCTCAGCGACTGCACATCAGTTTCTGTAGAGTCAAAAATTCTGTACATATTTTGGAATCTGAAGAATCTTATGTAAATGATTTGTTGCTTAAATCTGTGAAAAACAAGTTTCTTTGGGGGGAAAATATGCATTTATAAGTGTTGTGTAGAAGCAAGTGTTTTTATTGTGTTGATGTAATTGTTTTTAAGTGTTCAATGTCTTCATTGCAATATGAAATTCATTAAAAATCCATGTTCCGTAATTACTATTGTAAAAGTTTTATGTTATTAGGAGTCTCTTTTTTATTGTTTTATTTTGTGTTTTTTGTTTTGCTTTGTGAAACATTGTTAATGGCCGCTAAACATCACAATGATGTAGAAACTGAACAAATTAATTATAGCATTGCCCACCTGAAAAATTTGTTTTAGACTTAAAAGATGAATTGTGTTGTATTTTCTTTCTGTCTGTCATGCTAAAATTAAATGATACATAATTATGCTTCTCCATTCCTGAATCACCAGCTGAAGAATTTCTGAAGGGCATTAACAATTTGACATAATACAGGCATTTGTCAGAGTTCCTCAGAGTTTCATAAGACACTTATTCTGTTCTTATTATAGTTAAGCTTGTTTGAAACGTAAAAAAATTGCAGTTACAGAAAGTAAGGCTCTATTTTCTGTGGGAGGATGCAAACCAGGATTGGTGGTAGCTGCTTATTTCCCGTGTGTTCTTACACACATGCACGGAGTGTGGTGGTGGATGTGGGCACATCGGGGATCAAAGCTCCACCTGGGAGTCCCTTGCCTGCGCGGTCACAGCCTGCATTGCATAGGCACTGGGGCCACATTCAGTCCCCAGAGGGTAGGAAGTCTTCACTGGTTACTTGACTTCCTTTCCTGACTCCTCGAAAACATGAGATTGTTGTGCAAATTTCATAATTAATCCTCAGTTAAGTTTAAAAGTTCACAAATTGGTATAAAGAATCAAGCAGGCAAGACTTGTATTCCTATGATTTCATCAAAATGCTGCTGAGACGTGTCTCCCATATTACTATCCATAGGTTTTCTGTTTTCCGTTAATAAGAGGTTAAAGAAATTATTCCAAAAATTGGGAACACCTCAGTTGCTATGTGCAACACAGTATATAGTCCATAGTATGGTGGGAAGAAGCTGAAAATGAAATCGGGTAGATGTATAGTTTCAAATTAACTTTATTAAAACAGCTTTTTTATTTTTTTAGATTGGCACCTGAGCTAACATCTGTTGCCAATCTTCTTTTTTCTTCTCTCCAAAGCCCCCCAGTACATAGTTGTGTATTCTAGCTGTAGGTCCTTCTAGTTGTGGCATGTGGGTCGCTGCCTCACTGTGGCCTGATGAGCGGTGCCATGTCCACACCCAGGATCTGAACAACGAAACCCTGGGCTGTGGAAGCGGAGTGCGCGAACTTAACCTCTAGGCCCTGGGGCCGGCCCCTTGTTAAAACTCTTTACACAGCCTTTGGTCAAAATGAAAGTAGAGTAAGCAGCTTTTTGGAGCTTTGAGAGCGCTGCTCAACAGGTGGTGCCCGTTGATGGTTATGGGCTGTGGTAGAGTAATGGGGAGCTGCTTCAGACAGTTTGGTGGAGGAGGCATCTGTAAAGAGAGGAGATCTAATCCGAAGGCTGAAGGTTGCCGAAGGCGTCAGGAAATGGCGACAAGAGGAGTGAGGGGAACGCCACGCACACAGCGTGACTGAGCGTAGTGGGAGGGGAGCGTGCCAGGGCGAGGAATGTCTCACTAGCGGGTTTTCTCCATGTGCACCGGCTGCCTTGGGACCAACCGAGGGGCCCAGGGTCTTCCAGGGGGAAGATGGCTGCAGGGAGGTTCCAGGGCAGCAGGGTGGAGAACGTGTGGCTGAGGTCTGACTTGGAAGTTGAACAGGTGGTTCTTACTGGGAGAAAGGCTCTTCACTCCGAAGTTCAGGATGCACTTATGGAAAATGCTGTTACTGCGAGCGTGGAGCTTTGACTGCAGGCTTAGTTACCCAAAGGATGTTTCAAGCACAACCTAAACTGCTGAGAAGGACTTTTCCCTGAAAAAAAAAAGGTAACTGGATGTGTTAGGAAATTTCAGTCACAATTTAGAGTTATTAGGTTTCAGTACCTGAATTTGTCTGTTCCCTGTATTGCTGGGCATTTAGTCACCACCACTGAGCACTTCCTCTCACACTCTGAGCGCAGTGTCCACCCCTTGCCCGTGTGGGTTCTGTGTGAGGGGTCATTTAGGCTCCACCTACCCAAACTGGGCTGTCAGGATCTTCCCTTGAGAATTGTGTGCTCAGCAAAACTGTCTTTCAGAAATGAGTGTGAAATAAACATAGCTTGGAATAAACAAAAATGGTTTTCACCAGTGTACCTTCCCTAATGGAACTTCTTGAGGAGATACTGTAAGAAGAAAAAGTCACGAAGAAGGGTTTCAATCCCCTAGCCAACATGCCAGCAGACATCCCTGTAAAATTATGTCTGATTGTAGTTAGTGGTTTAAATTCTATTTTTGTTTGGCTAGGGGATTGAAATATGATTAACTTTAGTCTTTAAGTTATTAAATATATATAGTAAAATTTTGAGGGTAACCACATACACACAAAAACACCTTGGAAAGATAAACGATTAAAAGTGGTTACTGTAAGGGGTTTGGGAAATGTGGTAAATAAGAACTGGGCAGAAGTGACTTTTTGGTGTATTTCTTTCTATAGTTTTTAAATTTGAGAACCATTGAAATAGATCACCCAGTATCTGAAAAGTTCTCATTTTATGCTAGCAATAAAAACACACAAGGTAGTTAGTGAGGAAAATATGACAAAAATAAAAAGAGGCTTGAAATCATCCATGGAAATACTTTAAACTTTAACAAAGACATTAAGAAAGACAAAATGAGAGACCATTATGTTCATTAAAAGGAATAGTAAATATTGTAAAAATGTCAGTTCTCCCCATATTGGCAAGTAGATTCAATGCAGTTCTAATCCAAATCACCCTAGAATTTTTTGAGGAACTTGAGAATCTGGTTCCTAAATTTATTTGGAAGGGCACAGGCCAGAGTTAACAAGATGCCCAAGAAGAGAAAAGAGGAGAAAAAGGAGAGAGAGATTCACCTTAAGCCTGGCAGGGCTGTAGTAAATCAAGGGTGGTACAGGGATGGACACATTGATCAGTGGGGCACATTCATACACGTGTGAAAACTTGAAATATTTCAGCTCATATAATCATAGACCAGTGGGGAGAAAGTGGCCTATTAGTGGTTCTAGGACTACTGCTTATCCATATGGAAGAAAATGAATTTGAATCCCTACCTCACACCAAAAGAAAATCAATTCCAGCTTTGAATGTTACAGGAAAAACAGTAACATTTTTAAAAAAGAATATTTTTATGGCTTTGGGTTTATTAAACAACTATCCAAAAATGCATTAACCATCTTAGAAAAGATGGATACATTCAACCGTATTAAAATTAAAGGATGTGCATCATAGAATCCCGTAGAAAGGGTGAAGTGATGAACCACAAGTTGAAGCTGCAACATGTGTAACCCACAAAGGGTTACTATCCAGGAGAGTAGAGAAAACAACATTCTACATGTCTGTGGGAGAATTGGGGATTGGGCAGCAGATGTGAAAAGGTATGTCACAAAAGAGAAAACTTGAGTAGCCAATAATTAAGTAAATATAGAAATCAAGAAGATGAAAATTAAGGCCAAAATGAAATGGCATTTTGCAACCATTAGACTGGGAAAAAGTCTGTCAGGCATATAAGCTGTTGGAACTTTTACAAATACTTAGTTTGAATAATAATTTGTAAAATAATACAGCAAATTGGAAATCTTGTAGGTCTGGGTGTGTGCATACCCTCCACTCCAGCGATTACTAGGCATATATTTAGAACATAGTTTGTTAAAGTGTGATTCTGGAGACCTGATGTGTCTGTTAAAATGAAGACGCCTGAGTCCAACCTTGGAGCTGCTAACTCGGAATCTCTCAGGATAGGACGCAAGAATCAGCATTAAACAAGCTCCCACGTGTGATTGTGCTGTCCTGTGTGAGAGCCGCTGTCCTGAAGAACTTTTAGCACATGTGTGCCTGGGGATATGTGCAAGGTCACAGCACCAAACCAGAAACAACCCAACCGCACATCGACCGGGACTAGTAAATAAATCGTAGTCTGTGCTTATATAATTATGGGCACATATTTTGGGACATGGGAATGAAAACCCCACATTCAGCATGATGTTCTCTGGGCCAGGAGTGGTGAGTGGAGTGAGAGGCAGAGGGTGGGGTCAATGAAAGCCTAGAATTGGCAATGTCCAGATCCCAATTTGGATGGTGGATGAAGTCTGTGTTCTTATTTTCATACTTCATAACTTAAATACATTTACCAATACTCCTTTAGTGTATCCAACATTATATAATTAAAAGAGTCCTAGAAAAAATTCTAAAGAGAAAGTTCATGCTTTTCCTAAGGTGGATAAAGTGAATGCTGGTAACACGGGGGCATTTATAGTAATACTTTTGATTGTATCAGTTTCAAGCTTATCATTGCATAACCATATTTTATTCATTTCAGATATTTTTTCCACTTATAAACATGTCATTTTATTATTCTAAAAATGTTCAATTTTCAGTCAGTGTGTACACTCCATAGGAAGAAACTCAAAGCCAATTTTGTTCCAAGATAATGTTCTTGAAAAAAACAGTCACTAAGGAAACTATAAAAAGACTGTGTTTCCCTGTGTCAAAATTGGGTTGTTTTCAAATACATTTTGGAGATCGTAGCTTTAAAATGGGAAATGTAATAAGGATTTCACTTACCAGGTGTGATCATAAAACAATAAAAGTTGTTTTCTTACGTTGCTCATAAACTGGGACTGAAGATAATTTCAAATCCAGGAGCCAGTCCAAAAATTATGTTGAGCAGTGGCCACGTACGAGAAAAAGAGTTTTCATTCTCTCAGTCTGTGTTTTGGAGAAAACAGCATTTATTTGGCTAGGTGGATAATTTCTGGGGTATTTGCTGAAAGTGTTTTCTACAATGTGTATGCATTACAGATGTCTTCTAGCTCTGGATTGATTCTCAATAAATAGTTTAAAAATATCCTACTGGTAAACTTCATTCTTTTTTTCATTGATAAAATTAATTATATATATTCTATCACCAATTCTTCTCTAGTGTTATATGAAGCTCATTTTATTTTTTTCTCTTTTTAAAAACAGCTTTATTGTGATAAAATTGACATAAAATATACTGAACATATATAAAGTGTAAAATTTGGTAAGTTTTGACATATTCACCCATGAAATTATCACCACAATCAAGATAATGCAATTATCACCCAAAAAAGTTTACTCATGCCTCTTCGCATTCCCTTTCTGCTGCCCCTCCACACCGTGCATCCTCAGTAACCGCTGGTCTCCTTTCTGTCACTAGAGATTAATTTGCATTTTCTAGAATTTTATATAGATGCAATTATACAGTAT